CTTCAAACCAAACGTTGCGACTCGGTCACATCATCCAACATCACACCACAAACGAACATATCTCACGATACTTCTCTTCACCTGTTTTCCTCACTTCAAAGCAAACGCTGGGACTCGGTCACATCATCCAACATCACACTCCAAAGGAATAGGAATAACAGGTTGCAAGAGCGCGTTCAATTATTTTTCGAGATGCTGACGCGATGCATGTGAGTTCATTATTAACATAGTGATTGCATAGTAGCCAAATATTCTGAAGCAATCTTCTGGTCATCAATTGTGCAAACCGTGTTGCAATGCTTTATAGCGTGTGGTATTATTTCATGTAACGCGTCGAAAGAATAACTGTGATCATTATCTTGTTCGCCTATTCCACTGGAAAAACCAAGATTTGGGAAATATCAAACCAATAAATGATCACATGTAAAGTCAATTAACTGAAAGAATATTTTCACTTATTTGACTCGTTTCGGATCAAACTATGTGTTTACCGAATCTGATCATTAGTCACACGACAAAAGAATAATAATAACGTTTCGTAAAATGGCTCGGTTCAGTTATTTTAAATTTCTTTGAACTATTGATACAAATGTAATCAATTTATTGAATATTTGATAGTTAATGAATAAAAAGAAAGCGTGTTGCGTTCAGAATAACAATTCTTCAGAAGCTTAGCTTTCAGATTTCTCAGATGATAGAAATTTATGATATAAATGAATGAACGTATTAGAATTGTTTTATTTATCTATGTTTTCATCTCGCTTACAAAGGTGAGGCAAATTTTACTATTCGATAAATACGTGTCGTAGTAGAACAATTCAATCAAGGTTTCATTTGCATATTTTTTCAATATTCTAGTTAAAAAAGATGAAATGCTAAGGCTATCGAAGATCACGTTCCAAATAAATTATTTTCACCAATATTGTGTTCATCTAACGTTCTCATTTTGAAAATGAAAATTACCAGCTAATAATATGAGTTGAAGATGCATAACTCATGAATAATCATGATTGGTGTTTTATTCGTCTACATCAGAAATTTCATACAGAAGTATGCAGTTCATGTAATTGATCGCACATCTTATAGTCATTGAATCGTTACTTACCAAAGGTGTTATTCATTTACTTTCATCTATGTTTAAAATAAAAGTTGTAAAGCAATGTGTTGATCAATGATCACA